CCCTCCAGGTGACAGGTGCGAGGCAGGGCAGGAGGAGCCAATCCAAGGCAGGGGGAGAGAGGAGAGGAGGGAAGGCAGTGTCCCAGGGCTACACCTGTTGGCTGGAATATTGGGATTCCATGTCCCTGCCAGCCCCCTCCAGTAAGCCCCTCGGGGGCCTCCCGGGAGGAGGAGCCTGCCTGGCTGTATTTTTAGTTCCTTGTGCCTCCCCAGCTGCCATAAGACACCTCTCCCCGCCCCCGCCCCCCCCCCCCCCCGCCCTGCGCCTGGCCTGGCGGGCGGCTACAGGAGGACAGCTGGGGAGAAGGGGAGACCTGGTCAGTATGGTGGCCGCCAGGGACGGGAGGAGCGGGTGGAGGGCTCCTGTGGGGTCTGGGCTAAGCTAAGGGGTCCCACTGCCCCTCGGAGGGCCTCAGGCTGGTTCTGTGGCAGCTCTGAACCTGCCTGGCTCTGAGCCTGGCCTGGCGCGGGTCCAGAAGGGCAGACCCTCCCGGGGAGGAGCCAGCAGGCAGGGAGGCCTGACCAGGCTTGCCTCCAAAGGGGTGGCTCCCGGAGGAGAAGGAGGAGGAGGAGAAAGGGAACAGTCAAGGTTGAGGGGACCCCTGGCGTTGAAGAGACAAGATGTTCTCGCTCTTTCCCTCCTTGGCCCCCTGGGTGGCATCTTAAAGCGTAATCCCTGCTCCCCCCTTCACTGTGGGGAGTTGGCGGCTGAAGGGCTAGCGATTCCAGGTCACCTGGGCTGGTCTGTGTCCCTTGGGGGGTGAGGGGGGGGGCGGGGAGGGCTGGTGCACAGCCACCTGAGGACCCAAGCCTTTGCGGTGGGTGCTGCAAGCCCAGCTGGGGGGTCCATTCCTGTCTGTCTGAGATGAGAGGTGGGAACTGCCAGGCACCGAAGCACGGAACGAACGGCCTTGCCCATCAGACAGGCTCCTGGCTTTCTTGGGGGGGCGGGGGGGGCACTCAGATACAGGCCTGGGGGTGGCCAGTCCGGACAGGGAAAGTCTTAGGGGAGCCTGCAGCCTCCCTCGTGGGAGACCCAGGGGGCCTCTGCATCCCCAGGGCCAGGACAAGGGAGTGAGTGTGACCGGAAGACGAATTTTGGTTCAATATGAAGAAGCCTCTTTCAAGCCTCGGGGAGTGAGCTCCCTGCGCCCGGGAGTGTTCACGGTGATGCTGGACGTCGCTCCTTAGGAAGAGCTGCTGCCTGTAGGGGGAACTTGGACAAGAAGCCATTCTAACCCCCACCCCACCCCCTACCTTCCTGTGATCCCGGAAGCCAGGACCCTCGTTTCCAGAGTGGCGAAAGTTGAAGGCCCTGGCATTCTAGAATTCTAATTCTGGGTCTCAGGACTCCAGGGTTTGCAGACTCGAGGACGATTCTGCAAGTCTCCGATTTTCACCTTCCAAGCAGCCCAGGCTGGGACACAGAAAAAGAAGGGGCAGGTTTGAGTTGGTGGGATCCAGTTTGGCCCCACTGGGTGTCACACTAAGCCACCCGTGTGTGTGTGTGTGTGTGTGTGTGTGTGTGTGTGTGTGTGTGCTCGCGTGTGCCTGTGTGTGACATGAGCGTGCAAGGCCGCAGAAAGTTATGCACCCAGAGGCAGAGTGGCCTTCCTATTTCATGCGCCTCCAGCTTCTGGCCACTCGAAGGCTGTCACAGGGATAATTATAGTCTCCAAACAGAGCCGGGGACGCCAGGTAGCCATAGCAACCGTTAGGTAACGCCGGCTCTGTTGTAGAGATGTGTAAGAACAAACAGATGTCGGCCCCTTCCTGTTAGCTTAAATGGTAAAACGTAAAAGGCTCATCGACTTCAGAGCCGCAGGTTGCCTGAGTGTGCCAGGTCATGCCGTGCCGGCTGACGGTGACAGCTCCATATTAAACACTTGGGCGCCGGTAAGGAGTTGATGAGATTTTAAACACCCAGGCTTCCCCCAGGCAGCTCACGGGCTGGAGACGGGAGAAGAGCTGCAGGTGCAGAGTTGGGTTTTCAACTCCACCGCGCACCCACCTCCACATCTTTGTTTCCTTCTAGCCCAGGGGGTTAAGGATCAGCCCCGCACAATCCTGGGCTCCCATGAATAGGTCACCCGAAGCAGGGCTGACGCTGCCAGGTCTAAGCAGACCCTCTCAGAGCCCCTTCCTCGGGATCCTGGGCCTGGTGCAGAGTGGGCCCTCAGCGCCAGGCTGTTGAATGGGATGAATGAATGAATGAGTGAGTGAATGAATGAATGATGGGTGATGCCCTCCTGAAAAATCCTTATGGCTTGTTAGCTACTCATTTTGCTGCTGCATCTTCCACTGTGAAAGTTGGATGAGCTCCTGGAGGTCACCAGGCTGGCATGCTGGCTTAAGACTCCTGGAGTTCACATGGCTGGCATCCTGGTTTAAGACTCCTGGAGGTCACCAGGCTGGCATCCTGGATTAAGACTCCTGGAGTTCACATGGCTGGCATACTGGGTTAAGACTTGTGGGTGAATTCTGAGCACCTTGTAGGGACGGACATCTGACCCTTTGGGTTGTTAGGAATCAGCTGACTCGATAAATAAGTTGGCTCATTGGAAGGATACACAGGGGACCATTCAGCAAGCCGCAGCCCCTGGAAATCTTCACGTGGTGATTGGCCGGGCTTTGCCCAGATCAGCACGAAGCACCCTCTAGACCCAAGGTGGCAGGGAGGGCTCTCGGTGGGGGTCCTTACTCAGTGCTGGTCATGAAATGGACTCTTTGCCTCTGCGTTTCCTCTTCCCGAGTCAATTCCTGCCCAGCGCCCTGCTTGCATTTTGAAGAGGGGCGAATAGATTGGCTGTGGGGCAGAGCCCTGCCCTTGGCTGCCATAGGCCGGGTGCCAGCTCTGGCCCAATCAGCTGAGTCAGGCAGGCAGTGAGTTGCGTGGAGAACATGACTGCCAAGCCTTCCCCCCAGCAGGCGCTGGGGCAGGGCAGTTACTTTTAGAACGAGTTATATATGGGGGAGAGGGGTAGTCCTAACTGTCACATCTACTAGAGGCCCAGCACGGTCAGCCTGCCTGCTTATTCTGTCTTAGCTTCATTATCCACAGCTGTGAAATGGGGCCATGCTCATGACCTCACAGGGCCATTGCGAAGACCAGAGGTAATCCTGCCCAAGGGGGCACTTTGTAAACGGTAAAAGCCCATGTACATGGAAGAAACGGCTGTGTATACCTCAATCATAGCACTAGATAAACTAGACTGTAATTTTATTTCTCACTAGAGGCCTCGTGCATGAAATTTGTGCATGTGAGGGAAGGGTCCCTCAGCCCAGCCTGCACCCTCTCTAATCTGGGACCCCCTGGGGGATATCCAACTGCCAGTAGTTGGACATCCCTCTCACAACCTAGGCCTGCTGGCTCCTAATTGCCTGCCTGCCCGATTGCCCTAACTGCTTCTGCCTTCCAGCCTGATCATCCCCCTAACTGCTTCCATGTCAGCTCAATCACCCCCAAATGCCCTTCCCTGATGGTCCAATTGCTCTCAACTGTCCTCCCCTGCTGGCCTGATCACTCCCAACTGCCCTCCCCTGTCGGCATCTTGTGGTGGCCATCTTGTGATGACATCACGTGAAGGCATGACTCCACCTAGGCTTTTATTATATAGGATAGGATACTCACCTTCCCAAGGAAACTTGGAGTTTGTTGATCACTGAGGTATGCTTTATTTGGATTTGTGTCCTCTTCATGTAGCACAGTTTCTGACACACAATAGGTCTTCTGAAACTGTGTTGCATGAATGGATGGGTGGATGGATGGATAGATGAAGAATTGATGGATGGATGAATGGATGATGGATGGATGGATGGATGGATGATGGATGGATGGGTGGGTGGATGGATGGATGGATGATGGGTAGAAAGATGGATAGCTGGATCTTGGACAGATGGATGATAACAGAGGGAAGGATGGATGGATTTAAAGACGGCCAATTATCTTCACTTGCCTTCCATGCAAGGCCACCATCATTTTATTCAACGAACATTTATTCAACTCACATCTGGTACAAGACACTGTGAGGCCCAAGAGATACACAGATGCATAAAACAGAGCCCCTGTCCATTTGAACATCAGAGTAAAGTATTCAGGGGCCCCGCTCTCTGGGTTCAAACCCCAGCTCTTCTGCCCACTAGCTGTCATGTAGTGTGTGTCATGAGGAGTTATCAAAAGTAAAGAAGTGCATGGAACAGGGTCTGGCGCCCAGCACAGTCTCTGAGCAAGCACTAATGGGGGAGTCAGAATGGAAACAAAAACATAGGCCACAGTGAGGGAGCCATACAATAGGACCACAGGCAAATAAATGGAGGGAGGAAGCCATGAATTGCACCTTGAGTATTTGAGCGAAGCCACGAAGCCGATTTTCTGGGTGTCGTGAGAAAAATTCAGACTCCAAGAGGTTATGGATTTGCCGGGGTCTGCCAGCTATGAGCATAGCCCCATCTAGGCTCCCCACACTTCCAGCTGGGTGAGGGGCATGCTGGCAAAGTGGGGGGGAGTGTGCACCAGGAGACTGACAAGGGCCAGGACTGCCCAGGCCAGCCAGGTCCCTGCTGCCCACGGGGAGAAGCGTGCCAGTTCCCCTCGCTGGCAGCAGGGAGAGTTGGGTTTCAGGCCGCTGGCACCGGCCTCGGTGGTGCCCTTTGTGTTGGCCTTTGAGAGTCCAGACAGTGGCCCCACCTCCTCCCCACTCTTTCCACACACACAGCCACCCCCACCTCCGCGTGGCCTGAGTTGTCCTACCTCCCCACAATGGCACCTGCCCCGAAATAGCTTCCATGTAAGGGCCAGAGAAAGGAGGAGATTAGACCCCTGTGTGGAGGGGGCGGGGCGGGGGGGGACGTGGGGAGGGAGCAAGCTGTCAAGTGATCTGTGTCAGGCATTGGGAAGGTATAAAACCCCTTTGGGGCCAGGCAGCCTCAAACCCCAGCTGCTGGGACCAGGACACCCCGTCAGCCTGCACCTGCTCTTTCTGTCTCCTTCAGACTTCGCCATGGGGCTCAGCGACGGGGAATGGCAGCTGGTGCTGAATGCCTGGGGAAAGGTGGAGGCTGACATCCCGGGCCACGGGCAAGCCGTCCTCATCAGGTAAAAGGGAGCGGTTCCCCTCTCCCCTGCTTCCCCGAAGTCAGGGTGTTTGACAGCAAGATGGCACCTTTGCCCGGGGTCGACCAGTTGGCTGTGTTAGGAGCTTGTTAACTCACCCCCATTCGGTTCTCCTTTGCTTTTGAATGTCTGGGGTTGGAGTCAGAAAAGGAAAGGAATCCATCTCACACCTATGTCTGTAGTCGGGAGAAACTGGATGCCTGAGCCCATCCAGAGGAATTACAGACAGTCAGCTAACAGGGGGACCTCATGCACCCGCCTCACGTACTAGATGAGGACAGAAGAGGCCCGAGAGGGAACCACATCCCCTGTCACAAGTCCACTGAAGACTGTAAAGACGAGAGGCTGAGATCCGGCCCTTGGGCTGAGACATGTCCTCTAGACCAGGCTTTGACCCTGAGCGGCTGTGTGACCTGCGGAAAGCTACACAGCCTCTCTGAGCCTCCATTTTTCTCCTACACCCGGGGGGACATCCCAATAGCTACGTTATAGAGTCGACCTGAGACTGATATAAGATGCTTATAAGCGGCCCAGCACCGTTCCTGGCCTACAGTGAGTGGCAGAGTTCAGAACCGGTACAGACGAAGCCCAGCCTAGGGCCCTTTAAGTATTATAATAAGAAAACAGGAGACGGAGGCCCATGAGTGGATTTTGACTCCAAGCCTGTCTTGAATCTGAGAGCTCAGAGTGGATTTGTCTCCACACACCCTGCCTCCTACAGCCAGGGGCTCCCAAGGAAATTAAAGGACAAAGAATCCAAGTTCTGGACACTGGAGTGGCTGGTGGCCTGTGAATGGGCCCTCATTCCCCGTCACCCTCCTCCCCACATGGGGATCGAGTCTCCTCTCGGCCCTCCCTCGTGCCGGGGGCAGCCCGGGTCAGACACCTGCGCCCATCGGCGTTTCCACTCCTGGAAGGTGGGGCTGTGGGGTTGCCATGAGCGAGTGGGTTGTCCTTCACCCTTGAACCCACAGATGACTTTCTCCCTCGTTCTGAGCCAGACCAGGCATTCCTCTCCACCCAGATGCCCTGGCGCTCACCCCGGGGCCTCACCCACCTCCAGTCCCCACGCCGGAGAAGGGTCGGTGCTGGGCGCTTTGCTATCTGAGGCTCCTGCCCTCGGTGGCCGCGCTGGAGACACGGGGAAGGACAGTCACAGGAGTTCTGTTGTCTTTCTCCTCCTGTCGCTGTCCTCTGGCTGCTGGGCTGCCACAGGGCCTGTTTGATTGGACAAAAGCCTCTCTCCCACCCCCCAGGTTGACATCAGCTCCTCAGCCACCCATTTGCTGTGTGACCTTGAACAGGTCACCACTGCTCCTTTCAGTTTCCTATTGGTTGCGTGAAGGGGTTGGTTACCATGGTCTCTGAGACCCCTCTTGTACTGGCCTTCCCCAAATCCATGGTCCTCCCTGCTGCAGGCGGGCGGGCGGGGAAGTTGGGGTGCGAGACCCGTTTGCAGAGCGGGAGTCTCCAGGGTGGCCTGGGGGCCGCCAGCCTGAGGCAGGGCCTGGAAGTTGAAGGAGACTCGGGGCATTGTGTCATCGGGGAAACTTTCTCTCGATTCCCCAGTGGCTTGGAGAGTCCAGCCCCGGGCCGGGCGCCAGGGACAAGATGTGATGCCTGAGACTCGTGGCTCCTTAAGAATCCAGAGAGCCTGGTGCCCTATCACAGCCTGGGCTTCGGGACACACAAAGGCCATGCCAACGGGTTCTGCCTGCTCAGTGTCGGGATGGGGGAGGAGAGGGAGAGGATGCTGTAACCTGGCCTCTTGGTCCTGCCCCAGGGAATGACCCTGGAAGGTCACGCCTCTGGTTACCAACGAGGGCAGTTGGGTTCAGTGGACCTGTTACTACTGCCCTGGGGGCTTACATGATCGTGAAGTTCTAGAGCGTAGAAGCTGGGAGCTGTTGGAGCATCTGGTTCCAGAAGCAAGGGTTGGGGATCGAGGGGGCTGCTGAGTGGGCCCAGACCCCTGCCTTCCTTGCCTTCTCTTGCCCAAAGTTCTCCTTCTTTCTGTATTTCTTTCCCTTGCACAAAGGATCTCGAGGTCATGGAAAAATCGTAAATCATTGCCGGTGGCCAGTAATTCTCGTAGTGCAGAGAGGTCCAGCCTGAGCCCACATCCCTGGCCTAACAGTGACACTGCCGCTGTGGTGCAGGGCGATGGGGTGGCGATGGGGGCGGTGGGGGCGGTGGGGGCGGTGGGGAGATGAGGGTGGCGATGCGACGGAGGTGATGATGGCGGTAGACACGAGGAGGCGGACAGTAAATATTTGACCAGTTCACACTGATGGCCAGGCCCTGTGTTAAGTGCTTTCCAGACATTAACTCGCCACATCTTTATGAGATTGCCATGCCGATGACCATCGGGTTTATCAGAGAGGTTGAGTAACTTGCCCAAAGTCACACAGCTGGCATTCGATTCCAGGCAGCGTGGATTCAGCGCACCTGCTCTCACTGCTGTGCGGCATTGGCCCGCGGGCCCGGCCGTCCCAGCTCTGGTTCTGTGGTGCCGGAGAGAGAGGGATCCTGCAGGTCCACCCGTCCGTCCTCAGTCTCCGTGTGGGTGTCTGCTTGGTGTCCGTTCGGCGGACACGGGCACCGTCCTCCTCTCCCTGGGACCTGCCTGCAGACTGTGCTAACCAGGCAGGAGGAGACGGAACCATGGGGGTGAGCCAGGGCAGAGCTGGACCAGAGGAAAACCGTGAGGCCAGGGGCGCTGCTGAAACGCGAGGGGAAATGCCGCCACCATTTTGGTGGTTGTTCCCGTCAGGCAAGTCCGGGTCTGGCCTCTCTGCTGTGCGGGGACTCGGCTGCGGGCACTGAGGGCCGTGGGCACTCGGACAAACGCCCGGGCAGCGTGTGAGACAGACCCGGGCTCAGAGCAGCAACTGTGCTCAGCAGCCACTGAGGCAGGGCCCAGCCTTGGAATTCGGAGGCTGAGGAATCCAATGGGTGAGCAAGACCCAGAGAGGCTTAGTGGCTTCTTTGATGTCACACAGCACATTGGAGACAGGTGGGGCCAACCCCGTGTTCCTCCTCCCAAACCCTGGGGACTCGCAAAATGCCTGAGATCCCTTTGGGTCCCAGGTCCTTGGCCCCATCCTGCCCCAGACAGTCTAGTCCCCGTGTCCCCACGGAGCCCCACCCCCACCCCACCCCGGGGTGCCAGGTCTCACTGCTGTCAGCAAGAGTTCCCGGGTCATTGTCACCAGATAATGACAGCCAGGAGTGTGGACCCTCGGGCGGAAGGTGCCGGAGAAGAGCTGTCAGTGGCACTTGAGGCTTGGCCAGGGCCCTGGGGTGAGGTGGTAGCATTGAGCTGGGGCCCCAGGGTGAGGCGATGGCATTAAGCCAGGCTGTGGACAGCCCCGGGCTTTCTGGGCGAGCCGGAGGGATGCTCCCGGGGAAGGCAGGGTCCCTGTCGTACCGTGTGCAGCGTGCTTGTGCGTGCATGCCTGTGCGTAGGTGTGAACACAGGTGTGTGCGGGGAGACACTGACACTAATGGGTGTGTGCCTGCCGTTGGGTGTAAGGGTGTTGCAGAGTCTCAAAGCTGCAGAGGAGGAACCATCTGAGGAGCCAAAGCCATGAGGCAGGAGGACAGGGAGCAGGCAGACGGGGTTTCTCCTCCCCACGTTTCAGGGGCACCCGAGGGAGACAGCACCAGTGATGGAGCCGCCCAAGTTGGGCTCGGGTCCCGGTTCTGCCACCAACTGGCCATGTGACCCAGGGCTGGTGAAGTGGGCAAAGTCTCCCCCATGAGTGAAGTGGGCAAAGTCTCCCCCCCAGCCCTGGACCAGCACGACTCCCTTTAACCAACACTAGCCTTTTCGCAGCAGGAAAGGCCGAGCTGAGGCCGGAGGCGCCTGCTCAGGGCCCGGGCAGGATGCCTCTGTGGCCAGCTCGCAGGGCCCCTGGCAGGAGCGAGGACCTGGTCTTTGGTCGGGGGCTCCCCCAGGGCCCGTCGCCATCTGCACTGTAAGGGGCATAGGAGGTGCAGGGAGTCTGAGTTTGGGCTCAAAATAAAAACTTGCTGAGCCTGAGATCTGTGATCTGCTCTGGGTGGCACAGCTCTCACGGGTAGTGAGCCTCCCGTTACTGGAAATATTTAAGCAGCACAAGGATGAACCCGTGGCAGGGAGCTGCAGAGGTGGTTCCCGGCCCTGATTCTGCTGCACACCAGCCCTGGAACATGGAACAAGGACTTCATACCTGTGAAGTGGGGGAGCTGTGACCCTAAGGGCAGTGCAGGGGCAGAGCCGAGCCCGGGGCCTGCCCGAGGCAGGTGCTCACCAAAGCCAGCGTCCTTGGCCCCCACCTCTGTTCCGCCCTGATGCTACTCTGACCTCTACTCTCCAAATCCCTTTGAGGAAGTGGGGTGAGGCCAGGGTGCAATGCAGCAGTACCTTTCCTCCCCGCCTCTCACGGTAACAAGGGAGAAGAGGAAGGCATTAAACATCGTGACGGCAAGCATTTCTGCAGCACATGTCGTGTGGCACTCGGCATACGTGATCTCCTTCATTTCTCACTGCACGTGTGTGGGATCCCCTTTCAAGTCCCACGTGGTTCAGGGTCCCGGTTCAGGGTTCGGGTTCTGGAGAAGGGGCCTCACACAAATAAAAAGAGACTAGAAAAAATTTAATTTGGCGATATGGGGGGCCAGGCAGTAGTCTAACTCTAGTGGGAGAACTACCCACAGCTCTGGCCCTGCTGTCCCTTTTATTGAGGCTTTGGGGAAAACACCCATAGCGCACAGGCAGGAAATAACAGAGATTTACACAGGACAAACAGAGGTGGAGGCTGCTTCAGCTAACAATGTCTCAACTAAAAAGTGAGTGGTTAGAGCAATGAATGTTGTTGACCAGCCTCCCTGGCTTTTTGTCCACATCTCTCTATTAGGCACACTGGTATAGGCAGGGCTCAGTTACCCATCCCCTGGATGAGGATGCTGAGGCCTGGGGAGGTGAAGTGACTTGCCCAAGGTCATGCAGCTGGGAAGCGGGAGAGGGGGGGAGTCAGATTTGAACTCAAGCTGGCCACCTGCAGACCCCGCTGCCTGCTCCCGCGCCTGACGCCAGCCCTCCTCGTTCCCGCAGTCTCTTCAAGGGGCACCCCGAGACCCTGGAGAAGTTCGAAAAGTTCAAGAACCTGAAGTCGGAGGACGAGATGAAGGCCTCCGAGGACCTGAAGAAGCACGGTGCCACCGTGCTCACGGCCCTGGGCGGCATCCTCAAGAAGAAGGGGCAGCACGAGGCAGAGCTGAAGCCGCTGGCCCAGTCCCACGCCACCAAGCACAAGATCCCCGTCAAGTACCTGGAGGTGGGAGCGGGCCCGGGGACTGGGGGGAGGAGGGAGAGGTCTCAGAAGGATGAGGTTTGGGTTCGCGTCTCAGCTCAGCCACTAACTTGCTGGGAGACCTATGTCCCTGCTCTGTGCTCCGGTCTCCTCACCTGCCAGGTGGGCTGTCACTCACTTGCGTTCTCTCCACAGGTAGGTACTGTTACCACACCCACTCGACAGATGAGGAGCCTGAGGCACAGAGAGGGGAAGTAGCTGGTGCTCGGTCACAGAGGTTGCAAGTGGCAGAGGCAGGATTCAGACGAGGTCTGTGTTCCTGCAGAACCCCGGCTCCTAACCCGGAGCCGCTGGGTGTGTGACCTGCAGGACTGGTGTGGCCGCAGCTCAGCAGTTGGGGATCCATTTGGGGTGAGGATGGGGGTGCCCCCACCCCCCACCCCTGGCAGGCTGGCTCTATTGGTTCCAGCCTATTTACAGAAGAGACAGAGCCTCAGGCATCCTGGGGGAGGAGGGGATGTGGTGACAGGGAGCACTAGAGAGCTGGAGACCCAGGGGAGAATGGCTGGTGCAGCCCCTGGGGGGAGGCTGGTATGCCCTGAGGGTAAGGATAATGGTGATAGGATTTGCCTGGGTCCCCGGCATCATCGCACGAAATTCTCACAACCACACATTCTCACAAGTTAGGCATTGCATTCCGTGTTTTCTTCTCCTCTCCCACAAACAAAGTTCCGAAAGAGGGAGTCAGAGCTGGTATGGAAGCCCCAGGATAGAGGCTCTTCCTGTTCTGCCCTCCGGTGTTGACTCGTAGCCCGAAATGGATGCTAGAGCTCCGGCCATCTAGCCAGATTGCAGACAGGGAGCAGGAGGAAGAGAGGGGGCTCTCTTGAAGGCGTTTAAGGGGTCCAGAAATCTCATCCACCAGTGCTGCGTGCACTTCGTTGGCCGGATGTTAGTTATAAGACCACAACCGTCTGCTGGGAAAACTGGCCAATGTAGTCTGTTGCCGCTCCAAGTGCAGTTAGTGTTCCGTGACCAGGGCAGGAGGAGAAAAGGGACACTGGGCTGGCAGGCACCTTTTTTAAAATTTTTATCCCCATTTTACAGATTTGGAAACGGAGGGCTCAGAGAGGTTAAGCAGATTGCCCAAAGTTGAACAGCTCATGAGCCAGGAGGTGTAGCTTGATCAGGGGTACCCTGGAGCCCACGCTCTGAACCCCTGCGACCCAATATCCCCCATCAACAACCAGCAACTCCAGCAACTGGCACCTCCTGTCCCTGAACCCCTACGGGCATCCCACCCCCAAGTCTCACACAAACTGTCCTGCCTTGCCCTCTGAGCCTTGCAGACGTGCGTAGACGTGCGGCGTGAGCACACGGCCTTTGAGATGAGCTCACACTGTGCTCCCCGCCCTCCCCCTCTTCTCCTGCCAAATCCTGTCCGTAATCCAAGGCTCAGCTCCGAAGCCACCGCCTCGGTGCCAGGCCGTCAGCTGCTCCCTCCGCCAGCCCTGCCTGCCCCCAGCACAGGCGCTTGGTCCTCCTCCTGCCATGTCACCTGCCCGGCTGTGTGGCAGTTTATTTCTGTACCCAGCTATCTTCCGGCTGGAACTGTGCTCCTCAAGGGCAGACCCGGCTCTGTCCCATTGCCGAGCCCCGGCGGCCTGTGGCGGACTCTCCATATAATGGAATGGCCCATGCCTAAGGTGACCAGACGTCCTGCTTTTGGCGGGACAGTCCCGATTTTTAACAATTTGTCCCGCGGCGTTTTAAAAAAGTCCCGATTTTCTTTCCAAAAATCGGGATTTTTTCAAAACACCGCGGGACTCGGGACAAATTTACTATCAACAGTGAAGTCATTTACTATCAACAGTGAAGACTGAGCCCCATGAATGTTCTTCCCCTCGCAGAACTCTTGCTCCTTTTTACCTGGGGGTGAGGGGCCGCAGCGAGTGCTGGGTGCTGGGTGCTGGGGCCACTCTTTCCTCGCTGGCCCAGCTGCCCCATCCCACAGCTCCCCAGGTGTTAGCGGCTCTGCCATAGACTCAGATAGCTCCTCTGAGCTGGGGAGCCTAAGGGCGTCCTCGAAGCCCCCACTGTACAGTGAAGTTGCTCATGGTGATGAGTCAGGGCAGAGCTGGGCCTGAGATTCGGGACTCCCATGGTCAAGGGCAGGGCTTGCTCTCCTGCACCTGCGGCCACACCTCATTTCGTTGCATTTAAGGTAAACGTGACATATGTCCCCAAATCAAGGCTCAGAGACAGGTGTTTCCTGGGTGTGGACGCTTGCTCTTCGGTCACTTGCACATCCGGGTGCCCTGAGAAAACGGGGAAACCGACCTTGGCGCAGTCCCCACTCCGTCCCCAGCTCCAGCCATAGATCGTCCAAGCCCCCTGGGTGCACGCTCCAGCCCAGACCTCTGTCTGGCCACGTCCCCGTCCGGGACTCTGTACACGACCCGCCTGGCTCCCAGGCCGGTGTGTGCCTGGCATCAGATGGTGATTAGCCGGTGAAAGATGCCAAAGCGTTTCCATCCATGAGACCCTCCAGCCTGTGGCAGCCTGTGCTCAGCTTTCCCCACCTCCGTGTTCCTGGTGGGGACGGTGAGGCCAACGGAAGACGGGACTTTCCTGGGCTGAGCGCAAGGCCTGGTCCCTGCCCGCCTCTCTCTCTCCTTCCCTCCTGCCCGTCTGTTTGAGCTGCAGGGCTGAGTTCGGCACAGGAAGTGGGATGCTCTTTGCCCTGCCCCCCCCCACCTTGCCCACCCGCCGTAGGCCATTTAAAGCAATGACCACACTAAGCCATTAATGCAAACATTAGACACGTGCAAATGGGGATTGTTTCTTCCTGGACTTCCTGGTTGCAAAGTGCTGGGTGAAGTCACAGACCTTGAGCACCCTCCCACCTCCCTCCCCTCCCCCAGCCTGCAGTGGCCGCCTCCCTCCAACCCACCCCAGCTCTCTCAGCGCTGAGGTTGGTCCTCGTCCTGAGCACCAGCGGAAAGTAGGGGGTGAGCCGGCCCGCCTGGCCACAGGACCCTGGGCCTGGGCTTAACTTTTCCTCTCCTGGACCAAGAGGGGCTCAGTTTCCCCATCACCCCTGCCGCGGGTCACGGGGAGCAGAGGAGTCAGTCCGTGGAGACCACTCAGAGGCGCCCGTGTACAGTGGGTGCTGGGCAGGTGGCCCTGAAGGAGAAGGCTGGGTCTGACTCCCGCCCTCCTGCGGCTGGGCCGGTGACCCACCCTCTCGCCCTCTCTCCGCAGTTCATCTCCGAATGCATCATCCAGGAGCTGCAGAGCAAACTCGGGGCCGACTTCGGGGCCGACGCCCAGGAGGCCATGAAGAAGGCCCTGGAGCTGTTCCGGAACGACATCGCTGCCAAGTACAAGGAGCTGGGCTTCCAGGGCTAAGCCCCCCAAAATTTCACGCCCACCCCCATCCCCTGGGCCCAGGCTGCAGGGCAGGGTGGGGACTGAATCTCACATAGTTGTGTAGCGTTTGCTTCTGGTTTGTGTCTGAGCGGTGGGTGGGAGAGGCAGAGGGGCTGGGAGGTTTTTTGTGGGTGGGGGGACAAGGGGGGCTCCCCACGGAGGGGCGTCACCTTGGGAACAGGGGGAAGCGTGGCGTCTGCTCGCTGGGGCCTGCAGAGGCTGGGTTGTACTTCACTCTCCTCTCACTTACATCCCAACCCGGCTCCTTCCAACCTCCACGCTGACCCCCCCTGCACTCTCCCCTCCATCCCCAAATCCAAGCTGACACCTAAGCCCCAGCCACGGCAGCCCTCTGGTCTATCCCCAGCCCTGAGACAGCGGGAGGTCCCTTGGCAACGAGAAGGAGGTCTGGGCCGGGGGACACAGTCACCCCCAGCCCCGGGAGGCATGGGGGGCCGGGGACAGCCGCTTGCCCTCTCATCTGGTTGAATAAAAGACTCTGTTATACCACCATCTCCGCCCCGAGTTCTCATCCCTCGGGGAAGTGAGGAAGGGGCTTCCGGGGAGGCGTGGTGGGAAGGCGGACGGGGGGTGGGGGGGTACTCGGTGTTCAGAGCCCAGGGGGGGAAGAAGCGGAGGGGGGGCTGCTACCCAGCAGCAGGGACCATGCTGGGCTGGGGGAACGGAGGGGAGAGCCTCGTCCAGTGGGGAAAGTGGGCCGCTCAGCAGACCGTGGTCCCACGGGGCGCTCGGTGCCAGGAGCGGGGGCACAGAACCAGGGGAGATGGCGGGTCAGGACAACGGAAGCCTCAGTGGCAGCGCCAAGCTCACACGGTGGCCCGGGAGGCAGGGGGCCTCCAGCAAGGGAGACGGCTCGGCAGCCAGCCCACAGCGACAAGTGCTGACCTTCTGGCCACAGGAAGGACAGACACGGGGGGACAGCCTGCACACACACTCGCCAAGAGACACAATCCGTATCTACAGAGGCCAAGTGCTCGGCCGGAACCCGTGAGTCTGACTCCAGGGACCAGAATAAAACACTGGCATGTGACCACAGCAGCCAGGGAGCCGGCTAGAGAGGCAGCTGAGGGCAGGGGGTGGACAGGGGTCTGGTGGTCTGGATCCCTCTGGGCACTTAAGCCTTGAGGACCTTGAATAGCATCCAAAAGTCAAAGCACCAACCAACTCTGGAGTCCCCATCAATTTCCAGGGGCTTCTGGGAAGCAACGCAGTGGCCCTGCCCTCGAGGTCCTCACTGGGGCTCACCCCCTGGAATGAGCCCGACCTCACTGCCCCAAACCCCAGCTCACAACAAGGTCACGGCCGCTGAACAAGGCAGAGTTCCCCGCCCAGTGCAGACCCGGCTCAGATCCTGGCAGGTTCACTTGCCAGGCCGTGTTGCAGCCTCAGGTTAACGGGCCCCCTCCTTCCGTCTGCATCTGCGCCTGCGCCCGGCTCGGGATGTGGATGATCTCTGAGGAGGTGGGAGAGAAGGGAGGGGAGGGCAGAGGAGAGGGTGCTTGCTGACCCTGGGGTCCGGGGGAAACGTCCATGCGTTTATAGGAATTCAATTGAACGCCCGGGCACCGGGCACGTGGGCACAGGCTGCGTGGGCAGGATTGAACGTGGAGGAGGCTGGTTCCTGCCCAAACCACTGGCAGTCTGGTCAGGGAGACCATGTGCGTGAGGGTTGAATCGGGGCAAGATGCAATTGGGGATGCGGAGAAGTGCTCGCCATTTGTCATTCATTCATTCATTCAGTCCTCATTCCACAGATACGTGTGGATCACACAAGTGAGACAGATGCTCAGTGTATACCGTTGATGGGCACAAAATGCCTTTTTTTTTTTTTTTTTTTTTGGTAAGTCAACTGAATTTCTGTTTGGAATCCTCACTGTGGTTGCGTGGCAGGTACTTCCTGTCTGTCTCCAGGCTTCTCCCCAGTTCCTAAGTTCCTGGGGATTCTGCTGATTCTAAGGCCTTGCAAGTTGTGGCACGTGAGGATGGGGGGTGAGGGGGTGATGAGCGGAGTAAGGGGCGGGGGTCAGCCACGTGCTCTCTCCCCGGACTCTGAGCACCAGCTCTGTGACTGCCCACCCCTGTGGCTGCCCACCCCTGTGAGCCCGGCTCTGTGACTGCCCACCCCCTGTGACTGCCCACCCCTGTGACTGCCCACCCCTGTGACTGCCCACCCCTGTGAGCCCGGCTCTGTGACTGCCCACCCCCTGTGACTGCCCACCCCTGTGACTGCCCACCCCTGTGAGCCCGGCTCTGTGGCTGCCCACCCCTGTGAGCCCGGCTCTGTGACTGCCCACCCCTGTGAGCCCGGCTCTGGCTGTGGACTCCGGGGAAGTTGGATGGAGACATGGGGGAGGGCACAGAGGCCTGGGGCAGGGTGTCCGCTGTGAAGAGTACATGTGACTCAGCTTGGCCTCGGCAGCAGAGCTCAGGGTGCCAGGTGAGGAGAGAGCTGGCACGGGCTGCCTGCGGCCCAGCACGAACCAGGTGAGGAGAGAGCTGGCACGGGCTGCCTGCAGCCCAGCACGAACCCGCACACACCTGTCCTTTTATCAAGAATTTAAGTGGTACTCACTGTGTGTTTTATTTCTCTCTCTCTCTCTCTCTCTCTCTCTCTCTCTCTCTCTCTCTCTCTCTCTCTCTCTCTCTCTCTCCCTTCTCTCTCCTCTCTCCTTCCCCAATCATTGAGTGTTCCCAAACAAGTGAAAGATATCTCTTTTAAAAAAAAAAAAAATAGCCCCAAACCTTCACTTACTGACCCACATCAATGCTGTGGCCTCTGTCCAACCACAGATCACGCTCGAATATACCAGTAACAGCTCTCTCTGTGCGGGCATTTCCCACAGAAATAGAAACAAAACCATTGAGCCACTGCTAACACGTTGAAAGAGCAGGGTCTCACTGGCATATTTCTATTTGTCAAAGGAGGCCGCTTCCTTTACAGAAATCGGACATCGAGGCCGAGGCTCGGGCCCCTCAGGTGCGGGCCGTGGCCTTTGCCCTGGGGTTGGAAGTCGCTTTCAACCACCTCATAGGGCACTTTCTCACCGTTTCCCAGGTTCGGACACTCAGAGGCAGGCTGCCCCTCACCCACGCCTCAGAGCGCGGGCGGTTTTGCAGGCCTCCTGGATGATGGAGCTGGGTTCTCCGGAGCCTTGGTTTTGAGCACTGGGGATTCTAGGGGCCTGCGACAAATGGGGGGTGGTGGTGGTGGTGGTGGAGGGCTGTTGGAAAGGGCGGGGTGGGGGGCTGGACAGAATGGAGGCCCTGCTTCCCCCAGAGCACCGGGCTTGCAGCCAGTGTGCATGGGGGGGCTGGGCACACTATTTCAGCAGCAGTGAGCCGGACAGAGTATTCTGCCGGCCAGGACTGCCACAGCCACCGGCTCTCTGTGGGGCTCCTACGTCCCCTGTGGGGCGCTTTGGATAGTGTGTTTTGTTGCAGTGACGACAGTGACATGTAGTGAGGGGGTGAGGAAGGGATGCTGGTGTTCTAACATGTGCAGATAAGATCCCATCATGAAGATTCACTCCATGTTCTAGGCCCTAAATCTAGAACTTATTATACATTATCTTATTTATACACTAGAGGTGTAGTGCATGAAATTCCTGCACAGATAGGGTCCCTAGGCCTGGCCAGTGATCAGGGCTCAAGGGGGCCAAACTTCCCTGGCAGCCGGCACTCGGCTGCTGGGGCCTTCCTTCATTCCACACCATCCCCTGGTGGTCACTGCATGTCATAGTGAGTGGTCGAATTCCCAGTCGGTCGAACTCCCAAAGGGACAATTTACATATTAGCCTTTTATTATATAGGACACATTATCTTTGAACTATTTACAAATACACTGAATTATGGGAGAAATAATTTATTGTTCACCATTTCAGAAAATGACAGCAACCTCCCCAACCCCAATGCCAAGGCAGGGCTACCATGGGATTTCGGTGGCTGTGCCAGTCATCATGGGTGTCTGCTCCTTTCGGGCACATGGCAGTAGGTCATTCCTTCAGACCTATGGCAGTGGTGCAGCCGCAGGCTTATTTGGTCAATGAATGTGAGTGGGTGTGTGTCGCTCCCAGAAGAAATCTTAGGAGCCAGTGAACTCTCTCCCACGCCTCTGCTTCCAGGTTCCAGCGATGGTGACTGTGCATGTCTCGGTGGCACCTCTGCATGAAGAGCAGAGCCCCTGCCCACCACACTGAACATGGCGTGGGTTTGAGATACACTGCGGAGCAGTGAGGTGCGTGAGCTGTTTGTTATTGCAGCAAAGCCCAACCTGTCCTGACTGTGCAGCCACGGATCCAACACACGTGCCCATAAGCATTGCATACATGGCGATTCTATGAACATGGACAAGCCTCTCACTGCTTCCTCTACTACCGTCTTGCCTGAGCATTTAAATATTGAAAAATAGTTTATTATAAAAATATTTTGTTTAGCCGGGACCGGTTTGGCTCAATGGATAGAGCGTCGGCTTGGGGACTGAAGGGTCCTGGGTTCGATTCCGGTCAAGGGCATGTACCTTGGTTGCGGGCATATCCCCAGTAGGGGGTGTGCAAGAGGCAGCTGATCGATGTTTCTAACTCTATCTCTCTCCCTTCCTCTCTGTATAAAATCAATAAAAAATATATTTAAAAAAATATTTTGTTTATCTTTATACGTATTACTAGAGGCACGATGCAGGAAGATTTGTGCAAGAATAGGCCTTCCTTCCCCTGGCTGCCAGCTCTGTCTTCGCTATGGCCAGAGCCACCTTCCACCTCTGCCTTGTAGCATCAATTTGTATATTCCCTCCTTATTGGCTGTGGGAGCCACCATCTTCGTTGTGAAGTTATGGTCAATTTGCATATTCTGTCTTTATTAGATAGGATAGTTATAATATGATATTGAATTTTTTTTAAATTCTAGTCTTTTAAAAATATATATATTTTTGCTGATTTCAGAGAGAGGAAGAAAAGAGAGAG